CAAAAACCTATATCTATGTACCATTCATATTGCACTTGTATCACCCTCTCTTCGCCGAACTAGTGCACCTATACAATTTACCATTGTATTGGGTGTGTTGGGGACACAAGAGACTCTTTGCTATTTGGTTGCAGGGTTGTTTGAGAGAGACCATCTTCATCCTACGCCTCCCACGGATTGGTAAACCTTAGGTCATCCACTTGAGGGAAATTTGCTACTGTCCTACAAACCTCTGCACTTGGAGGCCCAACAACGTCTACAAGAAGAAGGTTGTGTAGTAGACATCAATTAGCATCCAGGTTCCGCTATTGGTTATTGACCGGAGATGTGTCTCGGTCATGTCTACATAGTTCTCGAACCCGTTGGGTCCGCACGCTTAATGTTCGATGATGATTTGTTTTATGAGTTATGTGATTTGATGCACCGAAGGTTGTTCGGAGTCCCGGATGAGACCACAGACATGACGAGGAGTCTCGAAATGGTCGAGACGCAAAGATCAATATATTGGAAGGCTATATTCGGACATCGGAAAGGTTCCGAGTGATTCGAGTATTTTTCGGAGTACCGGAGAATTACGGGAATTCGCCGGGGGAAGTAGTGGGCCTTAATGGGCCATACGGGAAAGGAGAGAAGGGCCTCAAGGGGTGGTCGCGTGCCCCCCCATGGCAAGTCCGAATTGGACTAGGGAGGGGGCGGCGCCCCCTCTCTTTCCTTCTCCCTCTCCTACTCCTTCCCTCTCTCCCCTCTTGGAAAATGAAGGGGACTCCAACTAGGATTGACTCCAACTAGGATTGGGAATCCTAGTTGGATTCCCCCTATAGGCGCGCCCCTCCTAGGCCGGCCTCCTCTTCCCCCCTCCTTTATGTACGTGGGCAGGGGGCACCCCAAAGGCACTCCAAGATTTCTCTTAGCCGTGTGCGGTGCCCCCCTCCACAGTTTTCCACCTCGGTCATATTGTCGTAGTGTTTAGGCGAAGCCCTGCATCAGTAACTTCATCATCATCGTCACCATGCCGTCGTGCTGACGAAACTCTCCCTCAGCCTCAACTGGATCAACAGTTCAAGGGACGTCACCGAGCTGAACGTGTGCAGATCGCGGAGGTGTCGTGCGTTCGGTACTTGGATCGGTTGGATCGCGAAGACGTTCGACTACATCAACCACGTTACTAAACGCTTCCGCTTTTGGTCTACGAGGGTACGTGGACACACTCTCCCCGCTCTTTTCTATGCTTCTCCTAGATAGATCTTGCGTGATCATAGGAATTTTTTGAAATACTACGTTTCCCAATAGTGGCATCCGAGCCAGGTCGATGCGTAGATGTTATATGCACGAGTAGAACACAAAGAGTTGAGGGTGATAATAGTCATACTACTTACCAGCATGTCATACTTTGATTCAGCGGTATTGTTGGATGAAACGGCCCAGACCGACATTACATGACCGCGTTCATGAGACTGGTTCTACCGTCGTGCTTCGCACACAGGTGGCTAATGGGTGTCCGTTTCTCTAGCTTTAGTTGAATCGAGTGTGACTACACCCGGTCCTTGTTGAAGATTAAAACAGCACACTTGATGAAAAATCATTGTGGTTTTGATGCGTAGGTAAGAGCGGTTCTTGCTAGAAGCCCATAGTAGCCACGTAAAACTTGCAACAACAAAGTAGAGGACGTCTAACTTGTTTTTACAGGGCATGTTGTGATGTGATATGGTCAAGACATGATATGATATAATTTGTTGTATGAGATAATCATGTTTTGTTAAAGTTATCGGCAACTGGCAGGAGCCTTATGGTTGTCTTTTTATTGCATAAAGATGCAAGCACCATCAATTGCTTTACTTTATCGCTATGCGATAGCAATAGTTGCAAAAGCAATAGTTGGTGAGACGATCATGTGACGAGACGTTGATAGAGATCAAGATGATGGAGATCATGGTGTCATGCCGGTGATGATGGAGATCATGACAATACTTTGGAGATGGAGATCAAAGGCACAAGATGATAATAGCCATATCATGTCACATATTTTGATTGCATATGATGTTTATCTTTTATGCATCTTATTTTGCTTAGTACGGCGGTAACATTATAAGATGATCCTTCACTAAATTTCAAGGTATAAGTGTTCTCCCTGAGTATGCACCGTTGCGACAGTTCGTCGTGCCGAGACACCATGTGATGATCGGGTGTGATAAGCTCTATGTTCACGTACAACGGGTGCAAGACAGTTTTGCACATGCGAATACTCGGGTTAAACTTGACGAGCCTAGCATATGCAGATATGGCCTCGGAACACTGAGACCGAAAGGTCGAGCGTGAATCATATAGAAGATATGATCAACATAGTGATGTTCACCATTGAAAACTACTCCATCTCACGTGATGACCGGACATGGTTTAGCTGACGAAACTCTCCCTCGGCCTCAACTGGATCAAGAGTTCGAGGGACGTCACCGAGCTGAACGTGTGCAGATCGCGGAGGTGCCGTGCATTCGGTACTTGGATCGGTTGGATCGCGAAGACGTTCGACTACATCAACCGCGTTACTAAATGCTTCCATTTTCGGTCTACGAGGGTACGTGGATACACTCTCCCCGCTCATTGTTATGCTTCTCCTAGATAGATCTTGCGTGATCGTAGGATTTTTTTTGAAATACTACATTCCCCAACACATAGTGCTAAGCTAACGGATGGGTCAAGTCAATCACATCATTCCTTAATGATGTGATCTCGTTCATCAAATGACAACTCATGTACATGGTTAGAAAACTTGACCATCTTTGATTAACTAGCTAGTCAAGTAGAGGCATACTAGTGACACTCTGTTTGTCCATGTATTCACACATGTACTAAGTTTCCGGTTAATACAATTCTAGCATGAATAATAAACATTTATCATGATATAAGGAAATACAAATAACAACTTTATTATCGCCTCTAGGGCATATTTCCTTCATTTGGATCCTCTTAAGCCCTTGGGTGAAAGGGAGGAGGCTAGATCATCGGAGGACACCCAAGGAGGACTCCTATATGAAGACCTCCAACCCTAGCCGCCGCATCATCCATCTCCATCATCCACAAGTCTCATCTACAGCCACCACACCTCCATTGCAGCAACTCCACCAAAGAGAGAAGGGCCAAGCAAGGGAAGAAGGAAGAGAGGAGGCATCTCCACGCTGGCGTCGGCCGGAGGGCCGACGCCCTCTTCATCACCACGCCATGTCTTTCTCCATCTCCAACTTCGTGTTGTCTTGTAACTCATCCCTCATCTCTATGTACTACATCGCCATGTTTGATTAATTTAATTAGTTCTTGAGGGAATAAGATGAACTCTAGTTTGTGCTAGCACCGATTGTCTTGCGCGATATGACAACCTCTTTGCATGTTTATGTTAATAGTCTTCTTGGTGTTGGGTGAAGTCGACCATCCAGCATATGCCAATTTTGGACGGAAGGCTGCTACTGTTGGCGATCCGCCTGGTTGCGGAGGTGGGTGGTGTGATAGGTCCTATCTCCCTTCGTCCCGGATCGTTGCAACAAGGGGTAAAATGGAAACCACTTTGGTTGCGTCCACGGGGACCCTTTCCCCCTTAATCACTGTTTGATAATCGGAGTGGGGAAGAAGGATGGTGGCGTATGTGATACACGGCTGCCGCGTGTATGCACATATTTGTACCGGCTCCGCCCACAAAGAGAAACATGCAAAGTCGCTCAATATTTGTAGAACGTACGGGTAGTGATGACTACAAACACCTCAAGAACGCTCTTATTACTCAAGCGACGCTCCTTTATTCTATCTGTTGTTTTATTTATATTTTTACCTCCACATAGTTGTTTTGTCAAAACTATTATCTTTTTTGCGGGAAAAACTAATTTTTTTGTCAAAACTATTATTGTTTCTGCTAGCAACTAACGAATATACTATTTTCAGATAACACTCTAGGTGTGAACGTAGCCACGTAAGTGACGACGTAGCTGTGGGGTTGGTAGTTACTTGTGCAACACCACTCCCTGTGGAATCGACATACTCTACTTACCGCGAATTGCATAGCCCTGTGCCCCTCGCAAGTCTTGAAGCTTTTCTGGCTTCGTTGCCGGGAAGCAAAAGCGCTCGGTTATTACCTTCCGGCTAACACATAGTTTATTTTGTTAGTTGTTATTTATCTTTCAGTTTTTCCCTTAATTCAAAAAGGCCTCATTTGATTTATACAATAGGAATATCATGTGAATAAAAAAACCATAGGAAGCGAGGTAATATGCATCTCAGATCCTATAGGAAAAGAGATGTCGTTTGATTCGGGATTTGATTATCTTTCACTAGGTCTATGCTAAGTTTTTCTTTTCTTTGAAATGTGAAGGAATAAGATTCCTATCCTTTAGCATTCTTACAAAATCCATGCAAACCAATGGAGGCCTTAGTTAGTAGAGAAACTCTTTATGATTTCTATTAATGAAAATCAGGTGCAAACCCTTTTGCTCAAAATAATTTTTTGAACATCGATGCGACCCTATTTCTATTTCTGATGGACCATAATCTACATTTCTTTCCCCTTGTTCCGAGAAATTTAGCCTGCAATGTAGTAGTACCAGCACTAAACACAGAAAAGGTAAAAATAAAGGCATGCGAAAGAACTAAAGAAGCAAGGGAAACGTGTAAATACAAGAAAAAATGTCAACAAAAAAACGTGTAAATATAAGAAAATTGTCAACAACAAAAAACGTGTAAATGGCCGGGCACTGTCAAGGTCAGTCTCGTAATTTTAGCTCTCCACCAATCCCAATTCGCCGTCATCCTACCCTGTCCCACCCTCTCCTCGCCAGAACGGAGGGACAAAGTTTGGAAATCGCCCCCCGCAAATTCCCCAATTCTACCGACCAACGCCCCTCGAGTCGTCGCTCCAAATCATAGCATTCCGGCCGGATCTATCCGACGAGCGAAGAGTCTTCGCTCTGCACAACCATTTTTGGCTCGATTCCGGAGAAGGTCCGGGGCTCCTTGAAGCGATGGATCAGCGGGCGAGGTACCCTCCCGGCATCGGCAACGGCCGCGGCGGGAATCCTAACTACCACGGCCGTGGCCCGCCGCCGACGCAGCAGCATCAGCATCAGCAGCAGCAGCAGGCGCAGGGGCACCAGCAGCAGCACATGGAGCGGCAGTCGCAGCGCTCGCAGCACCACAACCAGCAGCTTCAGCATCAGCAGTGGCTTCGGCGGAATCAGACCGCTAGCGAGGCCGCCGCGGGCGCCGCCAAAGCCAGCGAGCACCACGCGCCGGCTGCCGCCGATGACGCCGATTTGAGGTAAGAGAGGCGCGGAAAGGCTTTGCCTATTGCTTGGTATTGGTTCAAAATGCTCATGTATTGATTTGATTCGTTGACTTGGAATAGTTGTGTACTAGTACTGGTTAGGACCCGGGGTTTAGATAGCCTGAAAGTGCAGCATGGGTGAAACTCGTGTACTTTTGGTTGTAAGGCTGTGAGTGTTTCTGTGTTTTTAGTGGACTAGTGCTGCTGGATAAGGTGATTACAGTCTCCAAGCATGAATTATGTGTACAGTGTTACACACGACGTTTGCCCCTGGGCATTCTGTATTAATCCGTGGGGCCAAGCATGGCATCTTCTGGGATTCTCTTGGAGTAGTTCAGTGTTAATTGACTGTTTTCAGATAAGTGCTGAGCAACTAACAGGACGTGCTCGTGAGCATGTTTTGGAGGCTATGTGTAGCTGTGGATGTTGTGTACTGAATATGTGGTAGGGCTACTGCATTGGGCGAATTAATGGCTATTTTGTGGTTCATGATGACGGCCACACGGATGATTGATGTGTCTAATTAGTTTCTTCGATCGATGCTAAGTCCCTGTTTGGAACAGAGGGAAAATGTTGGAATTTTAGAGGATATCATTTCTATATATAGGAAAAATTCCTTTGGTACCATTTGGAACAGGAATTGCAATCCTACACTCCTTTGAAATTCTTCTGGAATGAGGCATTCCATAGGAATTTTGAAGGAAACCAAACATGAGGTCCTATCTCATGTTTTCTTCTCTTTGTGTCTACAGTCCTGCATTCTTTTCCTGCATCACATCCAAACAATAGTTGGATGTGGCATTTTGTGATTTGGTGGTTGGAAATATAAAGTGGCCTGTTGAAGTGAATATCCTGGATGTAAATTTTCAGGAGGTTCCTCACATAGTTGTCCACAAATATGGTTCCCCTAAGTAGAAAAGAACCACTGTTGAACTGTTCTTCCAACGTAGATGATATATCCTAGATATTGGTAGTAGCTAGTAAGGGATTAAGTTCTACTTTTGCAGTCCGCAAGACTGGAAGGCCCAATTGAAGCTTCCACCTCCAGATACACGCTACCAGACCGAGGTATCTTTTATGCTAATATTTTCTTTTTTCTTGTCAAGTGCTGCTCCCATTCTTATAAAGATTTGGCATGCAATGTTATATTTTTGCATGAGCCATTGTCTTGCTTTACATGTTTTCTTTTAATGTTCTGGTTGTCATAAGTTAGAAATAGAACTAGGTTGTAGGTTCCAATAATAAATTTTAATGTCCAGGCACATTGCAGTCAGATATCAGTATTAGAAGATTACTATTCGGTATTGCTCGTGGAAGGAAAAGGCATATGATGCTGATAGTGTTCTTGGTTTGGAGAACAAGCCAGTCGTACACTCCTACTTGATCATTCTTGGGAGGCTACCCTGTTCCACTTTATGTTCTACAGTGATTCAACACAAAGGAAAATCATCATATTTAATAGTTATTATTTGCTAAATCTTGCTGTAGATTTGAATCTATCATGCGGCATTTGAGTTCATCATATGGTTTGCCCTCAATAGTCACACAACAGCACAATCCATGTAGCAAAATAAGTTCTCTTTTAGAGTGTTCAACTTGTCAAGACTCCTCTACCTTCTTTCCGAAATACCTGGTTGGACGAGTTAAATGTCAAGTTTAGCTTATCTTGTAGCATTATTATTGTTGCTTATGTTCTCATTCTCCTGCTAAGTTAGTGTCTTCTTTTTATCCACACAGGATGTCACTGCAACTAAAGGAAATGAATTTGAAGACTATTTTCTGAAGCGTGAACTTCTTATGGGCATATATGAGAAAGGATTTGAAAGACCGTCTCCTATCCAAGAAGAAAGCATTCCTATTGCATTAACCGGCAGCGACATTCTTGCAAGAGCAAAAAATGGAACAGGCAAGACTGCTGCATTTTGTATACCTGCGCTAGAGAAGATTGATCAAGACAAAAATGCTATTCAAGGTTTCTTCTGGACTAGTAACTGTTATTTTGCACATGGAATTCGTGAAATTACGTACATGGAGTTCCTCAAATTATGCAACGATCAAACATAAGCATATTCAAAATGATCATATCACCCTTACCATTTGTTTCTTATATTCAGTTGTTATTTTGGTCCCCACGAGGGAATTGGCTTTACAAACATCACAAGTCTGCAAGGAACTTGGGAAACACTTGAAGATTCAAGTCATGGTCACTACTGGAGGAACAAGCCTAAAGGATGATATTGTCCGTCTTTATCAACCTGTGCATTTACTTGTGGGGACGCCTGGTCGTGTTTTGGACCTTACAAAGAAAGGCATTTGCATTCTGAAGGACTGTTCAATGCTTATTATGGATGAGGTATTTGAAGGCTTGTTGTAGTTGGCATTGCTTGTGTTTTAAATTAATACACACTTTGTCTTTCAAAGACCTTTTCTAAAGAACCTTTTTGGCATGGCATTCTACCACTGCTTCTTTTATTATCTATTTTACCAAACACTGCATTTCACAGAAGGAAAATGAAATAGGAATGTATATCAGCAGATGCGTTCTCCACCTTTAAATTGTTTGTTGCTAGTTCAGAGATAGATTATCACTTCTCCATTCCAGACTAACTGGCTTAAGAAATTTCCTTTTTACGCGGAGAGAATCGACGTAAACAATATGTCCTGAAGTTGGATTGGCCTTTGATAATATACCCTAACTTGGTCTGCATTTGATCGTGCCCTTAAGTTGGTTGTCCACCTGGTGATTTGTCCTACATGCCCTAGAGATTTTTTTTACAAAGACCAATTTAGTTATCCATTTAAGGTGCATATGAGAAGATACAGTTTGCCCCTTTTTAGCTTTGCTCCCTGCCAGGCACTGCTGAAAGACGTGAGTGCGCTCTCTTGAGGGTTTGCTCTGTCCAGATATCTCCCAGGTCGTCTCTGTCACCCCTTCCTCTAAATCTGCTCCAACCTATATGAATCTATTTCTCTATTGATTGGTCAAAGACCAAAGTTGAATCAAGGAAGGAGGAGGCAGCATGAACTTTTAGAAGCAGCCGAGCACAAAGGTAAGCAGCACGAAGCCGTAGTATGGAGCCGACGAGGGAAAGGGATGTGGCACTGGCCTGACGCAGGGGAGAGCCGCGGGTCTAGTTCTGGTTTGCCTCTTTGGATTTGTAGTATTTAGTGAGTAGGCAATGGTGCGTAGTCTTGTCACTCCCTCGTGACACTTGACATGGTACGCTGACGTGACCTGCCCATGCATAATCTTTGTGGCATGCTCTACAGCAGAAAGTCCGGATCGCTGCCTCTAGGTGTTTGCTGGTGCGCGGTTCTGTCTTGAGGGAGTGAGCAAGATAGAAGGCGAGGGTTGCGCGCACAAGAGCCAGTGGTGGTAGTTGCTCGCTGTGTGGGCTTGCTTCCTGGTGGGGAGGACTTGCTGGGTAAGCAGCGTTTGTGAAGGGCCTAAGCGATTTCCAGAGGGGTTTAAGGGTAACTTCGTCTCTGTTTTTAATGAGAGGGGCCTAGCCAGTTATTTTTATATTGAATAAAAAAAAATCCTGTGGGGCTTATGATCAAAGGCAGATCAACTTATGTTGTATAATCAAAGGCTTCCCGACTATAGTTCCCTGGGTAAACACTCTTAGAAAGCTCACATAGATAGAAAATGGAAAAAATATGATCAGTGGGAGTATATTTAATCTCATTTTGTACTATTATATATGGTGTATGGATTCGTGAAATAAACAACTTCAGAAGGTTAATTTAAATTGGTGGTGCAGCTGTAGATTTATCCTTTAATAAGAACGTGTTCTTACAAGAAATATTGGTTTTTCCTGTAGGCAGACAAGCTTCTTTCTCCTGAGTTCCAACCTTCCGTGGAGCACTTAATTCGATACCTTCCATCGAGTCGACAGATTCTAATGTTCTCTGCAACATTCCCTGTGACTGTCAAGGCTTTCAAGGACAAATATCTGCCTAAACCCTATGTTATTAATCTTATGGACGAACTTACACTGAAGGGAATTACCCAGTTCTACGCCTTTGTTGAAGAAAGGCAGAAAGTCCATTGTCTGAACACTCTTTTTTCCAAGGTTTTTCCCATGAAATCTTTTAGTTGATTCCTACATTTTAGTCACGTTTTGTGACTGGTCGCAATCTGTAACTAATTTCTCCAATTTCCATCTCGATACAGCTGCAAATTAATCAGTCTATAATATTCTGTAACTCTGTAAATCGTGTTGAACTACTGGCGAAGAAGATCACAGAGCTTGGTTACTCTTGCTTCTACATCCATGCTAAAATGCTGCAGGATCATCGTAATAGAGTATTCCATGATTTCCGTAATGGTGCCTGCAGGAACCTTGTGTGTACAGGCATGGAACTATACCTTTTACCTTCTTAGGTGCTGCCTTTCTTTTTTGGCCGAAGGACATTATTCTGTGGCTATTTATTTATTTATTTATTTATTTAGTACTCTATACCTTTCCAAACTGTAGGCCTTATTTATTGCCTTACTGGCATTGAAGTTTAGGCTATCCACAACTTGCTTGCTTGTGGTCCAAATACAATGCAGTTTCTACAGTGAAGAAATAATAGGTTTATGAAATGTTTTTTCTCATGGAGAGTCAGCGCATGTAGTTAGTATCTGACTTGGTCAATTCACATTACATTCAGTAGACCTTACAATTGGCATGTGGTTTACAAATCAATAGTATTCTACTAGCTTTTAGAATAAACTTGAAGTTTCACTGCTCTTTCATTATTATTTAATCATTATTCTGGTTAATGATTTATTAGTTTTGACTTTTTTTATCAAGCTGGATGGGTCATTTGGTCTCCTTTTTCTAACCTTTTGTATTTTTCCTTTGCAGATCTTTTTACAAGGGGAATAGATATCCAAGCTGTTAATGTTGTCATCAATTTTGATTTCCCCAAGACCGCTGAAACCTATCTCCACAGGGTATGCAATTTAATGAATTGCCATTTATATTTTGGTGTTCAGGCTATGACTAGTTCTAATGATTCATATAGTTGTTAGCTGAATAATCCTCTACTAAGATGATGTGAAAGACATTTTCATTTTAGTAGATATATGGAAATCGGAAAATGAATACATCTTGCCTATCAGGAGTTCAGAAGTGTAATGTTATATCCTATTAGCAATTTTTTTACCATGGTGATTTTCGATGGCAAATTGGTAAGATGGCGACTTGTTTCTGTGTTTAAAATTGCATTGAAAAATGTATTTTTCACTTGCAGGTTGGTAGATCTGGGAGATTTGGCCACCTTGGCCTGGCTGTGAATCTGATCACCTATGAGGATCGGTTTAACTTGTATGCAATTATTTGCAGGAGTGCTATAGCTTTTTCCTATCACCCCTTTTTTCTGCCATGACTTTTTTTGCTGTGCACAGGTATCGGATTGAGCAGGAGCTTGGAACTGAGATAAAACCCATACCTCCTCAGATAGACCGGACGATATACTGCCAATAGTTATCTGGCAGATTAATCTTGTATGCCCCACCCTGGAAGTTATAAGACAACTTGTGTAAATAGCAGCTCATCAGGTACGTTTGCTTATTTTTTATTTCTTTTGCATCATTGCATGTAGTGCATCTCTCTGCCTCATGTGGACTGCTCCCTCCGTTCATAAATATAAGATGTTCCAACTCTTTTCTGAATTGGATGTATATAGACACGTCTTATTGTGTTTGTTCACTCATTTCAGTCTGTATGTAGTCCATATTGAAATATCCAAAACATATTATATTTGTGAACGGAGGGAAGTATCATTTTTCTCTTCAAAATAAGGATTGTGGCTGTTGATATTTTTGCGATCACGATCCACTTCGTATAGCAGATATAGGGACTGAAACACAGGATCACGTTCTTCATAGTTACACAATTTTCCAAAATTTATTGGGGGAGCATTAAGAGTACTGTTTCAACATGCACTTGGACACTATAAAATATTACCCTATTAAGAATGTTTTACCATTGTACTTTGATTTACCACAGTATTGGTGCGAATACTCCTGATAATTTATCATTCTGTTTTATCATACCTGATAATTTATGTTTTATCATTCTGTTTTGTCAACTGATCTCGATTGATGTTGCAACGGGATTCTGGGCACTGATTGTACCGTAACTTCAGCCTTGTGTTTGCAACAGCTTGCTCTACTTTATCGAGTTCTCCAGTTGATTGCCTTCTATTTACGATGCAGGTTTCATTTACGTGATCTTTATGGTGTATCTTAAGTTGTTTTGGGGCGCTCTGGGACAGGTGAAAGTGTAGCTAGCTCGTCTAATTTCCAGCGGACCATGTGTGTGGATGTATCATGGCTAAGCTAAAACTTCCCGTCACTCTGACAATAGTTAATGTTGCTAACCAGGTGCCTGTTCTGAGACTGTTCTCTCTAAAACTGAAAGACCTCCTTTTCTTTTGACAATGTATTGGCTGGCTAGCTTTTTCTACAGGACATTTTGACCCTGGTATTTCTGTGAGTTGCGTGACCTTGGCGTGCACAGATGGATCACTCCACCTGGGCCAAGCTGTCGCGATGTATGTGTATGGACCACACATTTTGATTATTTTGTATTTGTATCCATTCTGATGTGCCATATTTGTAACTGCTAGATTGGAATTGGTGTGCAAGGAGTGTTTGTTCGGTTCAAGATTTTTCTTTGCTTCAGTCTCTACATGAGAACGTGCCATGCGATGTTTTCTGGCCGCTTGCTCTCAAGCAGAGGCGGATGTACTGGCAATTTAAGTTGAACCTTCAATGTTCTGTGGAAATATATATGTGCCAATGCTTCTCCAATGATCATATTTCAGCAATTCTTTTTGGGCAAGAGTACCATAACTCGTTGCTACTATGTCTTGCGGGATGCATTTGTGATCTACTCCCTTTGTAAACTTTTATAAGAGCATTTAGATCATTAAAGTAGTGATCTAAACACTCTTATACTTCTTTACAGAGGGAGTATCAAAATATGACAAGTGGGAGATGGCTGATTGATTATGTATGAAGTTTTGTCTGCCATCCAAGCAAACAAATTCTCGATGTTCGCTGCTTTCCCTTAATTCTGACAAAATATCTACTATAATCTTTGCCCATGCCTTAGTGTAATCCTGATAAAAGGAGACAGGGCATGTAGTATTCAATTCATACTCCAACCAATTAATCCAAAAGTCTGTCTCATGAAAAAGGTGGACAAATAATCTCAACGTATGTTACATAACCAAGGTTGCTTAGGGCAAGAAAATCAAGGAGGGGAAGTATCACCATTGTGGCGAGGATGGCCACAAACTCCCCTTTATAATATTTTTAAGATAGTGGAGAGTAGCAAAATGATAATCATTAAGACAATTGAGTACATAATTGCTTTTCTTCCACAAAAGCTTGATTAACATAAATCATACAATGGAAATACATTATAAGGAAACACACAAACATGATCTTTAATCAAACGACAAATGAGTCAAATAAACATATCACCGGATGTGTGTCTAGAATTGAGCTTGGATATGCTCAACAATCTTCTTGTCCACCTGAAAGGCTTTGGCAACGATATCATCTGAGATGGAGGGCTTGGATGCAAACACCGCATTGGCTATGGTGATCACTCCAGGGTTCTTGCTGCTCAGCGCTGCAATGGCTATAGCTTCTTTGGTTCCACAGTTGTATTGAAAGTGAATTAGCCCTTGCGGAAACACAAAAACATCCCCTTTGTTAAGAACTTTTGAGAATAACTTATTGTCGGGGTTTGACGTGACGAAACCAACATAGAGCGAGCCTTCCACCACCGTCAAAATCTCGGATGCACGGGGTGGATGTGGGGTGGGTTTTGACCATATTGAGCATAATCAACCCGAGCCAAGGAGATGCCCAAAGTGTTGAGCCCAGCAATATGCGCCACATTAACCGCCGTCACAGCGGAGCCTTGCTTGTTGCTCGCGTTCCCGGCCATGTGAAGGCCCGAGAAGTGAAAGTCTTCTACCACGGCAGTCTTCGGGTCCTTGCATGCAAATCCATTGACAAAAACTGCACGTACATATACAAGATTATAAAGAGTTAACAACTATGCATTGGCACCGATAATTAACACAAACGTTTCACCACACAAGTATCGCATGCGTTGCATGTGTGGTTACATACCTTGGGATGTCCTGTCAGCGACACAGAAATCCTGGAGCTGGCTCGGGTCCGAGGCACGGGCACGGGAAAACGACAGAGCCAGAAGGGCAAGGAGGAAGAACTTTGCCGCCATTTGAACGCGAGCGAGCGCTGATTCTCACTGAATCGGGTGTGCTTAATCTCTAGGGAAAGTGCTAGTGATTGTGCTGCTGCTGCTGCACGGTGATGCCTCGAAGGGTTGGAGGAGGCTCTTATATATAGCGATTGGAGAAAAGGAGGATCGAAGAGCATTTGTATTTGTTGTGTCGGGGAGCATGTGTGTATGAAGGAACTGTTCTTCACTAGTTCCCAAGTGAGCAACGAGGAAGCAGTCTAAAACGTGTTCCTAGCAGGCCTGCCTGCGACGGCAAACTAATCGATTGATTAGTTCTTTTCATTTGTACTTAGAGAGATATGCATGATTTGATCAAGTCACGTTCGTGTTTCTGTTGTCGTAGCTCTATCGTCCGAGGCCATGCTGCCATCAACCTTAGGCTTAAACACGTTATTTAAGTGCTCGGTTTCGCTAACTGGCAAACACCACTCTGCGATCTGGTACTCTCTCTCTCTCTCTCTCTCTCTCTCTCTCCCTCTCTCTCTCTCTCTAAGGAGTAGTAAAAAAATAAGAAAGAGGTTCAATCTTAACCTGAATTCCATGCACCCAAACGGCGCCAGTCTTTCCGCCCCCAACCCATACAAAACGGCGAGTGGAGCGTTCCCCGAGCAAGCTCCTCCAGGCTCCAGCTGCGGTGAAAAGACAAGAGCTTCCTGTTCATTTACTACCCCACGCGTGACATCCGCCGAGGACGGGACGGGCTGCATCGCCGATCTCGCGGGTCACGAAGCCGGTGCACGGCGACCGACGACGACGGAGCCAGCCCCGCCGATGCCGACGGGACAAAACGGAGACGAGACGCGGAGGGTCTCATCACGGGGCTCGTAGCCCAAAACAAAAGCCTCCACCGATCCCGTCCCTGCCCGTCGCCCCGTTCAATCACGATTCACGCCGGCCAAATGCTCGCCGTCCTGGCCACTCCACCGCAGACGCATTTATGAGCACTCCGCGTCTGCCTCTGCGACGCTCGATCGCCCCCACACTCCCAGTCCCAGCGCAGGACCTCTGCCCTGCCCTTGCCAGTGTGTTTTTTGGAGCACCCCTCGTCGCAGCCTGCGCCAAAATCCGAGCCGGCCGCGCCCGTGTGGCAGAGGACCGACTAGTGCGAGAGCAGCAGCGGCCACCCTCATTTATGGCGGCCACCCTCCGGTGTCGTCGGGCCTGGCCTTGCCTTCCTCCTCCCGTCCCGGCCAGGCTTGGCTTACGTGTTCTCATCAACCACCGGTCCTGCCCATCACTGGCGCTGTTGCCTGCGTCGTTGGCGCGGACTGTGCATGATCGCCAGGAGCGGCGACGTAACCGGGCTCGGCCATCCGAGCCGCATCCGGGGTCACTGTTCGTTCCCATCAGAGTGCGAGACACATCTCCCTCTCTTGTTCGGTGAACACTGCGTTTGACCCGCCCCGGCCCGCCCTTTCCTGTCTCAAGAAGGAAGGAAAAATGGTGGACAGGTCAAACGGGATGTTGAAAGGAACTGTGCCGTTCTTTCACGAGAGGTGTTTCGGTTTGCTGCATTTGATCTGCATCATGGTCTGCTGCAGAGACGATTGCAGGGATGTCTTTGGGTAGGTTCAGAGAGTTCCTTAACTGTCGAGGTCTTGTTTGGGCAGTTGGGACAAAGGGGTAAAGAACATGAACCCTGCATGATTTACTTTGGGCTATAACACTGGATTTTTTTGCCACAAGAACTTCCGATCTATTCATCATCTGTCAAAATAATACAAAGAACATCAAAAGTAAAAATTACAGCCAGATCCGTAGACCACCTAGAGACGACTACAAGCACTGGAGCGAGCCGGCGGCATTGCCACCGTCATTGCCCCTCTTCCACCGGAGCCGGGCAAACCTTATTGTAGTAGACAGTTGGAAAGTTGTCGTGCTAAGGCCCAATAAGACCAATGCACCAAAACAACAACTGTCACCAATAAAGAAACACATAGATCAAAAGAATCCAACCTGAGGAGATATGAACACAGACGAATGAAGACCGAATCCAATTGGATCCATCGAAAACAAATGTCGACCGAATTCCGTGAAATTCGACGGAGACAAACCTCCACGCGCCATCCGATGGTGCTAGATGCATTGTTAGAACAAGGGCTAGGCAGGAGAATCTTATTCTAACTTCAGGGAGTCATCGTCGTCGTCTTGTCTTCCTGACAGAAGACCTAAACAAACTCAAAAGAACACTGGAAAAATGAACCAGAAGCCCCCCCATCGGCAAGGGTTGGGATCCACCGCACCTCTATTGTAGGGCCGTAGGAGACAAGACAGATCGGTGGTGGCGCTGGCAGGAGAGGGGGAAACCCTAGATGAGTAGCTCGTGTGGGGGTTGAGCTGAAAGAACGTCTCATAATTATTTTTTCTAATGGTATAACAGAGGATCTCATAACAAAACCAATGGTTGGATGTACGGGAAGAGTAAATTGTGGCTAGAAAATGGATTGCCTAAGATGCTCCAACGCGTGATGTCCATGCAAAATTTAAGGGTGTTTGGACATTCGAAGAGCTCGCGGCAAAAGAGACAAATTCAAATGCAAATAGTGTTGTTTTCAAAAGTTTCTCAGACATCTGAAAATTGTCTTTTTTCCCACGAGCTCCTTCAATGTCCAAACTTCCCCAAATTTCACACAAGCACCACACCCTTGAGCAGCTTGCACCACAAGTAATTTTGATTTTGATTTTTTATGTTTTCTACTATTTAAAATGATTTTACTGCTCATATCCGGGCTCATCTGAGCATTTTCTATTTAAAACGATTTTACTGTTCACCCCTGGCTCATCTGACCCCGGGTTCAGAATAGCTGCATCCGTCACTCTTGCACTTTTTTTATCCGAGACTGGCTTGGAACAAGTTGTGTGAAAACATAATTTGGGCAAGTCGATTTTCTCTCATAATTAACTTGCACCAATTGGGGTTAGTCGGTTTTTTCTCTTCTGGATCAAATTGATGGACGCGATGGTTGCTCTCCATCGATACACGACAGGTATGAGCATATTGCATGGTTGTGAATCGACCGGCCCTTCATAGCCAATGCGTAGTATTCAAAGTGTTTT